ACTGCTGATCAATCTTGGAGTCGATTTGTCAGATCAGCGCAGTGTGTCCTCCACCATGTATGTGAGTGCATTAAATGTACTCATGGTCTTTGATATGCCAACAGAGATACAACCTCCTCCCCCTCTCCCATCAACATCTATTCTTGGACCTCGTCCAAAACCTTCCTCGACCAAGAAGGCCAAATCTGCTGGTTAACCAAGCAAAGTAGGAGACTTGGTCTTCACTGTCTCTGAAGGAAACTCCTCCTCAAATGAATCAGCTACATTTGCCCCTGCAGCCTAGAACTTGTAGAAGTTAGGGTGAACCTTGTCTTAGTTTATGTTTAAGTCTAGGGTTTAAGTAATTTTGGTCATGTTGTCTGGTTAGTCAGACTGACCATGTATTCAGGGGGAACTTGTCTTAGTATGTTGTTTTCAATCTCTTAGTATGTTGCTTTCAAGCTGTCCTATTATGATCAGGACAAGCTTCTTTTGTTGTACCCCATGCTTTTGAAGTAATGCAAGTTCTATTTTTCCTCGAGGACTGCTCTGTTGTGTGTTTGTTTTCCTTTCAGGAAGTCTCCAGACTTCTTGGACGAAGGGAGAAATTGTTGGAAACATGGCATCTGCAATATCCCAAAACAGCAACGTTCCATACAATCTCTCAACTAGCTACAACTACGACACCGTTTTAAATCAAGCCTCCTAACAACGTCGTGCTGAAGTCGTCCTTCAAAGTCTCAAACAACCTCCTTCACACACAGAGGTCTTCTTCTTCGATTCTCTCCCATCTCACGAAGACAAATCCCTCGAAGGATGCTCCCCATCAAGCTGCTTCAGAAAAGACCACTGACTCTACCAGAAATAATGATGATCACTACCATGATCATCATCCACAGTAAACGATCATCTTCTCAACTTCTATAAATCGCAGAATGTGACCTAGCCTGTTTTCTTTGGCGGTCTGTAGGAAGAGATTTGTGAGATAGTCTTTTCTATAGTGGGTTCAGTTGAGTGTTCCTTGATTCACAGTGCTTGTATGCTGGGTGAATCAAGGATTGGGATGTTTGAAGTTTAGTCTTGTTTATTTAAAGGGCCAATTGAATTGGCTTGGCTAGGGTTCTTAGTTTGTAATCTATATTTCTTTGATCATAAGTAAAATTAGTATTTTCTCAAAATACGAATCAGGAAGGGAGAAGTAATTCAAATAAAGATTCTCAAATATACTTTGCTTCTCCTTCTGATTCTACAACTTTTATTACCCACATAAAATTATTCCCTAAACTCATCATGTCACATGTCACCATCTCATTGTCACTTACCTGTTCAAAAGTCGACACGATCTTAAGGTCCAAAAGTGTCTGCACATTCTTTGGACCGCTTTGTTCAATAACCTCTAGCTCCCTCTTAGTAAGTGTCACAAACCAACATTGAGTGTCGCTAGCTATGAGCTAACCATTACATTAAGCTTCAGCTAGTGCGAGTTAAGTTAACTTTCTTTTAGTTGGTTTAAGCTGTAGAAAACCTAACGCAGAAGAGGCACAAACGCACAACACAAAGTTTTACGTGGTATCCTTGTTCGATGTGAACAGGACTAATCCACGATTAGCTCGAATGAGCTCACAGACTGAGATATTGATGACTGATGACCACGACTTCCTACCACAACACATCGGTAGCTAAGTATTTATAGACTTGGGCTAAAACCCTTAGGCCAAAGTTTCATTTCTCAACAATTAACAAGGAAACCTAAGACTAGTAAGAAACGGACACTCGGTTACTTGGTGGACAAGCAAAGTAACCGCAACACTCCCCCTTAAGCGAAAGCATGGATGTAAAGCATGCCGAGCTTGGAAAGAAGGTGACTAAACTGGTCCGCACTTAGACCCTTGGTGAGCAAGTCCGTTGGCTGGTCCTGAGTAGCGATCTTGGAAGGCAAAATGTCCGCAGAGAAAACACGCTCACGAACAAAATAACAATCCATCTCCACATGTTATTACGCTCATGGAACACAGGATTAGCGGAAATGTGCAGAGCTGCCTGACTATCACAGTGTAAAGGAGTGGCAAATGACGAGGAGTGACCGAGCTCGGAGTGCAACCAAGCCAAATGACCTCAATGACATGTGGAGATGCCACAACTGAGAGTCCTTTACTTCTTGCTGGGCCGTGAGATCCACCGGATGACGCCCATCAAACACGTGCAAGTAGTAGAGACTATTCTCGTGCCTACCCGTCCCAATCATCTCTCTGGAGTGTAAGCCCTGTAGTACACAGAAATTGCTCAAGAAAATTACAACAACATGATGATCGGTAGTGAGACGACTGACAGACAATAAATTGCACTGGAATTCCGGGACATGTAATACACGTTGAAGTGTGAGACCATTACTTAGTTTTGAATTCCCAATGCCTTGGACGGGAATGCTCGTCCCATTAGGTATACGAACCTGTAGACCCGAGTTGACATCCAACTCACCATCGAATAAAAATTTATCCTTGGCAATATGTTTAGTACAACCAGAATCAATAACCCATGTTGCGGATAAATCTACGAGAGACGTACCTAACATGTTGGTCTTAGGGTGCTGCGCGACTAACAAAGAATCAGCAGTAGGATCCATTCCAAGAAAAGCTCGGAGCAGAGTGACTTGCTCCGCAGTTAACCCGGGGATGGCGGGTTTAGCGCGCTCGACAACTGCTGCCTGAGGCTCGGCGCGAGGACGGGAGGAGCTTGGACGACGAGGACGGTTTGAACGCTCGCCAAATTTGGACGGCCAGCCAATGAGATCATAACAGGTTTCTTTAAAATGACCCAGCTTGCCCAATGTCCACACTTAGGTCTGCCCTCCGCAGTGCGCTCATCAAGACGCTCCCCCTGGCCTTGAAAGGCAGCTGCTTCATTGCGAGGCCGCTGGTCATTGGTGATGGTGTGTTGTTGTTCATCATTGGCAACGACATGGTATGCTTCGCCAAGGCTGGGAGCTGGCTTTAAGGACAATAGATGAGTGCGAACAGTGGAGTAGCTATCATCGAGACCCACAAGAAAGTCGAGGAGCCGCATAGCCTCGTGGGAATCGCGAGTTCATTGTTCGATGTTACAAGTGCAATTTCCACAAGTGCACTTTTCTGGAGGATCAAGAGTAAGTCAGTCATCCCATAATCGCTTTAGCTTAGCATAGAAGGTGGACACTAGTGCGATCCTGATGTAACCCAGTGATTTGATGACGGATCTTGTAGCGACGAGGAAGTTTGCCAGTACTAAACCTCTCTTGTAACTCATCCCATATCTGTTTGGACGTGAAACTCGAGCTAAGACTGGAGCGAATCTCACAAGACATGGCTTGACGAAGCCAACCTATAACCATCGCGTTACACCGGATCCAGGCGTTGAGTTGTTCATCGGAGGCAGGCTTGGCGCCGGTACCCAAGACGAAGCCCAACTTGTTCTTGGCAAGGAGGGCATTGGAGATTTCAGCTGACCACTCGCCGTTATTTGCATCAGTGAGCAAATCGACAACAAAGATTTTACGTGGTATCCTTGTTCAGTGTGAACATGACTAATCCACGGTGAGCTCGAATGAGCTCACGGATTGAGATGTTATTGATTACTGATGACCACGACTTACTACCACAAGACATCGGTAGCTAAGTATTTATAGACTTGGGCTAAAACCCTTGGGACAAAGTTTCCTTTCTCAACAATTAACAAGGAAACCTAAGACTAGTGAGACACAGACACTCAGTTACTTGGTGGACAAGCAAAGTAACCGCAACATAAGCTAAGTTCAACTAGCTAAGCTAGACTAAGCTAGGTTTAGCTCCTAAAAGCTGAACTTAGCTTCCATATGTTCAGCTTGGACTAGCAAAGGTCTCAAAGTCCCTTTCCTACTACCACAAGATTCCTCCAGTAAACTCAATCTAACTTTAGCATCTTTAGGGGGGTTCCAATGAGCTCTCGTGACTTCTCCTAGTCTTTCACGAGTTCTTATGTGGGTTCCAAGAGTCTTTTTGAGCTAAGTTTTACTCAATTGCTCTCTCCCCACTAATTTTATAGCTACAGTCAAGTTCACCAGTCCGCCAAGGGTTTTAGAGATGCAGAGATATGACCCGATGATGACAAGGGGGGATATGAGCAATACGAAGCCATGTAGGAGGTCATTAGCTTCACCCCCACCACCATGAAGTTAGGGAAGGAGCTGCTCGAGCATAGTACCATCATGTCAAGATTTGATGTGATAAATTGAATTAAGTTTTCTGAATGACGATATGGCGATAATGAGTTGAATTTGTGTGAAATGAATTAGGTTTTGTGAATCAGAATAATGTGGAGGTGGTGGTTTCAACAAAAAAAAATGACATTTCATATAGGTCGGTCAACGGTTTAATCAAAATTACTTATTTTTTAATGAGAAATCTAACATAAAGGATAAGTATAAGAAAAATTCATAACAGAAGAGCATTTTTTACGCAAACCATCATTGAATGCTTATTTTTTTATATTATATAACTCGTATCATCGAGGAATAAAAGATCAAAGAGCCAATACAATGTCCTTAACCAAGAAATAAAATCGAAATCCAATAAATTTGAGAATAAAGAAAGGACATTTTTCGTCACCTAATGGACAATCTTGTTGTTATCTCGGTTAGGATGTGTTGTTGCTTGGTCAGTATCGCGCTTCACCATATGAAATCGAAGCTTGGACTAGACCAATACCGAATCGAATATAGCATGTTCGGTCCTTGATCCCATGAAGTATATAAATAATTAAACACTGAAGAAAAATGGACCGAAGCGACATTTGGACCCAACCAAATCGGACCAAATGTAATGTTGATCCAATCCTTGATCCTAAAATGTCTTTCACTATTTGACCGCAGTTCTTATGAGTTTGATCTAGTCCGAACTGGTCCATCAGTTGCATACCCCTAATCCCGACCAATGAAGCACCTATTTTATTCTATTAACTCTTTTATTTTTTATATATATAAAAAAACCTATCAATCACGTTATTTTACCTTAAAAAGAAAATACTTTTTAATTATATACCGATGGTCCGTCCAGTCCTTAAAGACTAGGAAGTCGGAGCGAGCAAGCACAACAAATATCCCGAAAACCGCGGCTGAACTCGACGAGTCACAACTCAGAGCTACTTCCTGCTCTGCTCTGAATTCCAGCTGTGACCGTCCGTAGCTAAACGCACCCCTTCCCACCTGTTATTATTTATTTATTTATTTATTTATTTATTTATTTATTTATTTATTTTGTTTTCCTCTCAGTGGACTAATAGGAAAATACTTCCCCTCATAAGGCGCGAGTCCAGCGCAAGGCGGAGGTGCTGCTCTCTCTCTCTAGCCTTCTGTTTTAGTTTTTCTCTCTTTTCGGGTTCGGCGACGGCAACAAACGCAGTGATCGACGAGGCTGTTCGTCCACTAGAATTCTCCTTTCCGAGGTCTCGATCGCTCTCCCTTTTCCTGTCAATGCCTTTGTTCCGAATTACGGATTTGCCTTCTCTTTCATTATTTGATGGAGTTTTCCTCGCGATTTTTTATTCCCCATGGCGGACCCGCTAATCACTCGACTTTCTCTAACTAACTAACTGCTCGCTCTTGTTCTTGTTCTTTTAAATACTTCTTCTGTATAGAATTTTGAGTCGCGGCTGGACTGACTAACTGATCACCATCTGTGGCTGCGATGGATCTCGACATGGCGGACTCTGTGTCTTCAACCAATAAGAAACTCAAACAAAACGACGTAAGTAAGCGATCACCTTTTGGTGCCCTAGAGCTTGCATGATCAAAAGGGTTGTCTTCACTGTGTTTGATGATAAGAGGTTTTTTTTTTTCGGAGAATTCAATTTTAGTTTTTTATTATCATAAAGGATTCGTCTTCCTGTTGGCTTCCCTTTTCCTATTTGGTTGTGATCAGGCTAGAATGCATCTCGTTTCCAGTGGGGTTTTGGGGGGTTTTCCGCAGACTTGTGTGTGGAAGTATTTGCTGTTTGGTTTCGCAGAGTCCAGGGTTTTTGAGTTTCCTGACAATTTCTCTCCTTGATCAGAAAGAGCTAGTGTGCAGAAGCAAAATTCAAGAGTCAATTGTTTTCTATTACCACGTTCCTCTTTTGTTTCGAGTTCTCTCTTATTGCCCGTTCGCTATCGTGGCCATAATGCGCTGCTCTAGTGCTAGGGTTCTTACTTGTGTCTTGGTTCTCAGTTTCTGTATGATCCAATTGTGCCTCTCAGGTTGGTAACTGGGATGTAATTGGTGATGGAGACGGAGATATAACCAATGGGTTGATAGGCATTGAAAAGGTTGATGTCTCTACCAAGGGAAAATCAAAATTTTGTATGATAATGTTTAATGATGATGATACATGGCATCATGTCAATAATAAAGTGCTTTGTTGTAGTTGTTGTCAGCTTAAAAGAGTTCCTTTTCTCACTATGTGTGAATGCTACTCTGATTTATGTTTCGTCTCCACAGGATGCTGGTTTGGCGGTGGTTGGCGGTAATCATGCTAAGAGTTCATCGTCTGTTTCGGATGATCCAATCAATATTGTCACTTCCAATTCTGATATTTCGTATCATAATGATGACGATGAGGAGGAGGAGCTTGCTGATGACGATGAGGAGGAGTATGGTGATGCTGATTATGCTGAGTATCTGTCTGATTATGATGTCAATGATGGCGACATCTATGAAGACGATTATGTGAAGCTTCAATCCCAGTTTGATAATGTGGATCTTCCCACTGGGGTGGAATTATCTGTTCCTTGGATAACCAAACCTTCTGAAAATGTAGTTTCCGTCCCAAGCACTACAGTTACCAATGCTCATGCTGAAGTCACAGGGAAAGTGAGCAATAGTTCTGGCTCTTCTGTTGATAAAAGTCTGGTGGCATCCAGTAGTAGTATTTCTGCAGCACCCAATGGCGAGGAAAGTTCTTGTAATAAGGTAGAAGAAAGTGCAGAAAATATCATTGAAAAGCTCAAGAACTTTAAAACATTTGATATGGTGGAAGATTTCTCGGATCATCATTATGCTCGCTCAGGAGAGCAGGTTAGTTGTTATCGTCCAATAGCTTTCTCTGTTGAGTGTCGTTTGAAACTGGGTTGTTCGGACTTGTCCTGGCCATAAAAATTGTATTGGCCCTCTCTAATTATGTAAGGGCTAATGTTGGGTGCTTGTCTTGCAGGCGGCGCCAGACAAAAATTGGGCGAAAAGAATCCAGGACGAGTGGAAGATTCTTGAAAACGACTTACCTGGTGAGTTTTTTCATACGAACACTTTAGTGTCAGTGGTTGTTGGTCTCTTTTATATTTTTTGTTTACGACTCTGCTCCTTTGTCTTTATCAGAGACTATATTTGTCAGAGTTTATGAATCAAGAATGGAGCTTCTGAGAGCTGTCATTATAGGGCCGGCTGGTACTCCTTACCACGACGGCCTTTTTGTGTTCGACTGTATTTTCCCATCAAACTATCCAAATGCTCCGCCTGTATGTATTTTGCTGGTATTAGTAAAGGGTTACATATGCATCTAAAATGGTGTTCTGCTGCTGGAGCATTAATTTTTGGTTACCCTCTGTCTCTTGCTAGATGGTATATTACTACTCTGGTGGACTCCGCCTGAACCCGAACTTGTATGAATGTGGGAAAGTCTGCCTGAGTCTATTGGGGACTTGGTCTGGGGACCGAAATGAGAAGTGGATACCAGGAAGATCTACCATGCTTCAAGTTTTGGTGTCCATACAGGCTCTGATTCTGAATGCAAGACCCTTCTTTAATGAGCCGGGATATGAAGCAAACTACACCGGAGAAATAGGGGTTAAACAGTCCAGGGAGTACAGTGAAAACGTGTTTATTTTGTCGCTCAAGACGATGATGTACATCCTAAGAAGGCCGCCAAGGGTAATGTGATAATTTTGGTCTTTTTCTTGTTGCTCATTGTTGAATAGTGGTGCGCAACAATTCGGTTCACACTAGAACAAACTGACACTTGGATTCAGTTGAACAGGACCTAATACAGTTGGTTCAGATGGGATTCAAGGATCCTGTTAGAAATAAAGAAAAATATGAGCCACGTCGAAATGAGACTGGACCGAATGTTCAATTCTGGATTCTCTCTAAATTGGCTAATATGTTTTTGGTTTTGTTTTGGGTTTGCAGTACTTTGAAGAGCTTGTGAAGGGGCATTTCCAGCAGTGTGCCCATAACATTCTGATAGCATGCAGAGCTTATGCAGAAGGAAATGCACCAGGTACGATTACTATCAAAGATGGGGTGGCAGATCTTACCCATGCTGATAGGGTGGCCTCGGCCAATTTCAAGGCGCAAGTAAAGAAGTTCATGAACGTTCTCATTACAAACTTTTCAAGATTTGGGAACATAGACTGTGAGCAGTTTCGAGTAAGTGATTGAGAGAGATTGGGAGAAAATGAAGAGCTTTGTTTAGAGTGAGGTGGGGAGGGACTGCAGTACAAAAGAAAAGGGTGGGTGGGATGCGGACTAGTTTCAGGTGTGGGTAGAGTGGTGACTTGAGAAATGAGAAGGTTCAAGTTCTGCACCCAGTTTTATTTTGGAGGAATTTGGAGATATTCCGTTGTTCTTTAGTTTTTTTTTTTTAATTGTCGAGTATCTTTTGTAGTTTTGTTAACTCCAGTGACTGGTTGATCTAGGGTAGGATTGTAAAGGAATCATAAGAGCACGATTTCCAGGATCGAATGATAATAGTAGGCCAGCTTCAGGGGAAAATCCATTCATTTTCTTGTTGAAATGACGAATGTTAAGGATCTCTCGCTTTTGTTGGCATTTCATCTTTCAGCTGTAACCTTAGAAATTAGAATCGATCGAGTTTCACAGCTTTTCTTTAGAGCTGCAGAAGTTAAACTAGTTTAGACTTGAAATTTTTTATTATTTAGGATTAATCGCCATATTTAGATTCCAAGGTGGCTGAGAGTTTTAATTGAATTGTTATTATGATGTATTCAGTTTGTTTTAAAATACATGCATTTAATATGCTAGTATATTTTGAAATACTTGGATTTAATAATAAGGTATTTCTTTTGAAATACATGTATCGATAGAATGTATTATTATATTCTTAAAAGGCATAATACGGTGTCAAAATTCCGGTTATACTTTTAAAATCTTATGATTTTACAATCTTTACCTATTGACTTCAATCTTGAACGCTTTTAATTATGTCGTGTTACGTAAAGAGCTAAGTCATTACGAAAGCTTTATGTAACGCTTTTAATTCTTATTTTTTTAACAAAAGATATATATTGATAAAAAAGATAAGATAGTTACATCCTGATAATCAGCCAGGCCTGAAAATAAAAAACACGACAAACAGCCGGGTACAACGAAAGGGTCTTTCTAGCCACCACCCTATTACTACACCGACCTACAAATCGAATACTCAAACCAGGATGAAGGACAAATACTTGCACTACCTCAATAAGAACATCCCCCATCCTACTATCCTCTACCTCCATTCGCCGAATTTTATCGATAATCACCTTGGCATCCCCCTCAAAGCGAACCACACTAAACCCTTGAGCTAGACACCACTTCACAGCCTCCCGAAGCGCCAAGACCTCAGCAACCACCAGATCATCAATAACTGGGAAATGAACCCCTTTAGCCCTCAAGACCCCACCCTCTGAGCTTAGCACCATGCCCCCCGCAGAATGGGAGCCTGGTTTCGTCGCCCCATCCCACCGACAGACAAGACCAGAGTCCACTTGAGGAGCCGGAAGGCTCTGCAAGGCACCCACAGCCAAGCCAGGAGAAGGGTCCCCAGGCAATCGCATCCATTTATCCTGGTGAAACTGGCGTATCAGGGCCAAGAAGGTGAACTGTTTTCCCTAAAAAACAACCCAATTCGGGGACTTCCAAATCCGCCAGAGGACCGCAATCACAGCCATGAACAGAGAAGGTTGATGAATGAGGCCCAATAACCGCTTGAGAAAGAGGGGAAAAGTCTGCCGTGGAAGTCTCTCACCTAGAAACTCCAACCCAGAATAATCCCACATAGCTTGAGCAACTGGGCAATAAAGGAACAAATGCTCCAAGGACTCCAGCTCATCCCAGCAAACTGGGCAGCGCAGAAGTACCGGCACCTTCTTCTCAATAAGGGCCTCCATAGTAGGGAGGATGCGATTAAATATCTGCCAGGCAAAAATCTTAAGCTTAGGCGGAATATTCGCGTCCCACAAACGGATCCAACTACTCTTATCCATCCAGCTAACCATATCCATCCACTGTCCCGATCGTTTATCAAGAGTGACCGCAAGGTGATAGGCATACTTAACTGTGAAAATCCCGTCCGTAGTGTCATGCCATACCAGTTTATCCTCCACCTCCTGGACCGGGAGAGGGATAGCTCGAATAGCCTTGCAAGTAGCCGGGTCAGACCATTGGTTCAAGCTATCCACACACCACCAATGCAGTCAAAATCGGGATTTTGATCGTAAAATCGTAGGATTTTAGGATTTTACTTAGGGATTCTGATCCTGATTTTACTTTAAAATCGCTGGACCTTAAAATCGTTCAGAATCGGGATTAAAATCGTTAAAATCGTAGAATTGTACCAAAATCGGGATTTTGATCCTATGTGAACTAAATAGGGAGCTTGAGCCAATTTAAAAGAAGCAGAATTATTTCGGTGGAAAAGGCAATGACGGGGATCTTCTCATATATTTTTTCTATTAAAAGAACATTTTAAAAGAAGAAGAAAAACTAATTAGGGTTCGGTCAACCCCTTTCCCTTCTCCTTGTTTAACTCATCGGTAAAACAATTGTCAAAATATTGTAAGTGCGTAAGAATTAACATCATTATTAACAAATTATTTAATTAATGAATATATTCGTACCAAACCAATGACATTAACTGTTTTATTGGATTTCAGTTATTCATAGTTTTAAATCATGCTTAGTAGACGATGTTAGAATACTACTTTGAGTTAAACTACCTAGACACAACATGACAAACAAGAGCCAAACCCCATGAGCTCTATCCCTTCCTCATAAATTATTTTGAATTACGCATTAAATAACAATTAAAATGATGATTTTGGAACATTAATCTTGAAAATTATCACTTTAAATGTTATAAGTCTTTGTGCTATTAATTATTTACCTTATTAATATTATTATATGTTAATTTCTATATGGTACTTAAAATCCTACGATTCTACGATTTGATTTTACGATTCCGATTTTACCCCAGTTTTCGATTTTAGGTAAAATCCCGATTTTAACTGCTTTGCACACCACCCCCCTCCTCCCTGACACATGACCTCAGTCATCCGAGGGTCCCGACCAACCGGCAAAACCCGAGGATTATAAACAGGAACTTCAGGATGCAACCCAGGTATCCAGCTGGAATGCAGGAGAGGAGCAGTCTGCCCATTCCCGATTTGCCATCCAAACCAGCTACAAGAAGCTCACGCCCATAGGGGATACTCGTCCATCTCCACGAGGGCCTAGAGCGCGCCTTGGCCTCATGGAACGTCCCTTGCGGATAGTATTTCCCTTTATAAACCTGCGCCAAGAGGGATTGAGGGTCCATCAGAATACGCCACCCAATTTTTTCAAGGAGATCCTGATTGAACTGCTCAAAACGGCGAAACCCCATTCCACCCTCATGCTTGCTGAGACAGAGATTCCTCCAAGACATCAAATGGATCTTAGGCTTCCCCTCAGCCATCCCCCACCAAAAGCGGGCCACATGTTTATCCAGAATCCTACAAATGCCTAGGGGAAGCTTAAAACAAGACAACACATGTAACGGCAGCGCCATTGCAACTGCCTTGATCAATGTTTCCTTAGCCGCCCAGGATAGTGTTCGCTGCTTCCACCCCTGCAGCCTCTCCAACAATTTGTCTTCCAAGTACTGGAACGTTGCCATCTTGGATTGAGCAATTAGCGTTGGCAACCCCAAATACTTATCATGCACCCCCACCGCCCCTACTCCTGAAACCTGGGCCAAGAACCCTGTTGGGGTACCATTCATAAGGATTGAAAACGAGGCCGATCGAAGACACTCCTGAATCCACCCTCGCCAGGTAGAATTAAACCCCATCTTTTCCAAAACCGCAAGCAGAAACGGCCATTCAACTCTGTCATAGGCCTTTTCCATGTCAACCTTTAGAACCATAAACCCTTTCTTACCACGGTTTTTGATTTTCAAATAGTGCATCAATTCATGCCCCAGGAGGATATTTTCCACAATCTGCCTCTCTCGAATAAAGGCTATTTGACCATCCGAGATAATGACCGGTAAATGACAGCCAACCTAGCAGCCAAGATCTTTGAAATAATTTTGTATACAAACTGGCAAAGGTTGATAGGCCGCAATTGTTTCATTGTTTCCACATTCTCCACTTTATGGATCAATGTCAACCACGTGTGATTAAAGCTGCGGAGCATCTTGCTTGTCGCGAAGAAGGATATACCCCATCAATGACCGAGCCACCAACAATGTCCCAGAAAGCCTTAAAGAACTTGCCAGTGAACCCATCCGACCCAGGTGCCTGTTTGGACCCCATTGCGAATACTGTACGACGAACCTCCTCCGGTGAAACAGGAGCTGTTAGGCTAGCATTCATCTCCGGAGTCACCGATCTGATAATTAGAAGAGCCTCCACCCGAGAGGTCATGTTTGGCACCTGGTTCTCAGAGGTGAACAAATGCTGATAAAAAGTGACAGCAATGTCAGCTTTACCCGCCTCCTCTGTTACCCACTCACCCGTCTCCGTCCAAAGTCCGTGCACAAGGGTCCTTTTTCGACGAGTACGCGTGACTGTGTGAAAATAGGAGGAATTCTTATCACCTCTTTTCAGCCATCGAACCCTGGACTTCTGTTGCAAATACAATTCCTCCACCTCCCATTGCTTGCTAAGTTCAGTCTCAAGGGTTCGAACTTCATCCCAATTGATCGGGTGGATGGTTTTTATCCGCTCAATTTCAGCTTGAAGGGTTCGAATGTTCCGCAGAGAGTTCGTCGTCCCCGCCCTACTCCAATCATATAAAAGATGTCTAAGTTTCTTCAACCGTTCCCATAACTGGTACATAGGGGTACCGTGGAAAGATTCACTCCAGAAATAAGTCACCATCGCTTTTACCTCTGGATTATCAGCCTAGCGGGCATCAAATCTGAACAGGGGCCGACTATTCCTTATGTAGGGTTTCTCCGCTAGCAGCAAAGCACGCTGATCCGATCCCTGATCCGTAAAATGTTTAACAAGGGTATCAAGAAATCGTTCAATCCACTCCGGGGAATACAAAGCTCTGTCCAGCCGTTCCCGAATACAGGCAGGCGCCATACGTTTGTTTGTCCAGGTAAAGAGATCACCTTGGTGCCCAGGGTCATGGAGGCCAAGGTTATGAACAAAATTGCGTAAGGCAACGGACTGGGAAGTATTCCACGGGTTACCGCCATCATTTTCATGGGCATGGAGAGTGACATTGAAATCCCCGAGTACCACGTAAGGCAATTGGACAGCCTCACAAATCTCACAAAGTTGAGCCAATTGGTTCAAGCGAATAGTAGCTTGACAGCTGATGTAAACACAAAACACAATGTACTGAGAATCGACTTCATTAATTTGAACGCCAATACAAAAATTTGAATGATAACACACCAAAGCATTAACTTTGAGGGACCAAACTAAAACTAACCCACCCGATGCATTAACAGCATCAACAAAGAAACAATGATCAACAAAAAACCCCAATCCCCTAATACGGCAAGAGACAACACGCCGGCCCGATCGAGTCTCTGAGAAGAACACAAGATTCGGTTTATTCGAACGAACTAATCCTATAGCAGTTTGGAACGTGAGTGATGGTCCAATTCCCCTCACATTCCAGGCCAGAAGCCTCATTTATCCGGGTGGGGCCATTCACGGCTGGCTTCCTCCACCGATTCATTCACCTCCTTCTCTTCAAGAAATTGTCTTTTGGGTGTGGGCGACTCCTCCAAGCCCCCTTCAACCTCAACCAAGGGTCTCTTGCGATCCCCGATCACTGGGTCCAAGAGGTTCGAGCCATATTCATTAGGGCTGGCAGGCGGTTTTCCGGTTAGCGGCTAACCGGTCGGTTTCAACCAAACCGACTGGTTTTCGGCTAGCCGAAAAACCAACGAAGAAGAGGGCGGTCGGTTGGCGGTAGAGGAAATCAGGGGTCCGGTTAGTCGAGTAACCGAAGCCGATTAACCGTGACTAACCGGCCAACCGACCCACAACCGAAAATATAAAAAAGATATTCTGTGACCCTTCGACTCTTCCCAACTCCTTCGACCCTTCTCTCTTTCTTCCTTCGACCCTTCTCTCTTCTTCTCTCTTTCTTCCTACAGCAGATCCGACCCTCACCCTCTTTCTTCTCTCTTTCTTCCTCTGCATGGAGGCCAGGTTGCCGCGGCCGTCGTCAGTCGCCGCGCCAGTCGCCGCGACAGCGCCTCGCCAATCGCAGCGCCCGTCGCCGCCGCTGTTCCCGTCGCCGTCAACGGGGAGGCAGAGGGCAGAACGAGAGAGGTGAGGGTAGGTAGGAGGGAGGCGATTTCGGGGAGGCAAAGGAAGAGATAGGTTTTCGTTTTTGAGTTTTTCTCTGGGAAAGGAAGAAGAATTTTCAGGAGAGAGAGTAGGGAGAGAGATTCGAGAGAGAGTAGGGGGAGAGAGAGGGCCGAGGGGTAAGTATGTGGTGCAGAAATTTCGGGTTTTAAATTTTTTATTTTTTTTAGAAAAGGTTATTTCCGGTTGGCCGGCTAACCGAGCCTAAAACCGAAACCGATCGGTCGGTTGGCCGGCTAACCGTGACACTCTCACGATCGGTGGTCGGCAGGTGTGCAGGGTGGCTCGGTTTAACCGATAACCGGGATTTCGGTTTTCGGTTAAACCGAAACCGACTGACTGCCACCCCTAATATTCATCCAACGGAGAGCTCGAAGCGCCCCCTTCACCAAGAGAATGACCTCCCATTTTCACAACAGTTGGGGGTACACTCTCCGCTGTAATATTAAGGCCTGTTTCAAAAGCATCAACCACTTGCCGGACCCGACCCTTCATAGCCCCCTCACATCGAGACCCGCCAATCCTTGGATCGCGTCGCTTTATCTCAAAAACACCAGCATCATCCTCCGAGAGAGAGTTCAACAACGCCGTCTCATCCGGGGAGAAGGAGCCTCTCATTATTAAAATCAGCGGCAAATGGCAGCTTGGTGTCATGGGGAGAAGGAGCCACGCATTGTCCCTTTAGTTTAGCCACCCGCTTTGCATCCACATCTTTACTTTTAGACAAGCGCTTCTGAGGCTTCACCGCCTTTTCCTTGGTCGGTCGAAACCCAACCGCCACCTTCCCAGTATGCATGGCATCCGACGCAACCGCCTCACCAGAAATCAACACATTTGGAGGCGGACGTGACTGCATGGGAGGGGGGGGGGGGGGGGGGGGGCTCACGTTCACATTACTCTCCACCACGGCTACGTTCTTCTTTTTTTGCCCAGCCATATTTTTAAAAACGAAATCATCATCAAAATCCTCCTCGAGGATCAGCCTTCTCCTCCAAGAGTCAGCCACCCCCTCCTTCACCACCCGAGAGTGAGTCTCACCCTGCATCATCCCCGCTCGGTTCTTCTTCCCGTTGCAGGGTTCAGCCGCACGAGCTCGGCCAGCATCCCCCCTCACATGTCGATTCGATTGGGACTGCATCTCACGCAGGTTACCCTTCCCAGCCCGAAGTCGCGGCGATTTCGCGACGGGGAAGCCACGGGGGATGCTTCGCCTGAAATTTTTATTATTGGCAGCGGGAATCTGAGCTGCTGTCCCAGCCTGTCCCCGCTCCAGTCGCCTGTTAAGTTTCGGGCGCTCCTGATCCAGCTTGTCCTCTCGTTGACTGGGAACAGTACCAGATGCCACTCCGCGAGCTCTCGAGACCTCGCGCACAACCTTATTAATCCAGACTGTCTTCGGGGCTCCATCAAAGGCATGAGAAGGCTCCTCTTCATCATAAATCTGCCGCACAAGTTTCTTTGCAATCATATGCAGCCCAAAATTTTCTTTTCTATTCGGGGGATCATATACACATTCACGTTGCATATGTCCCACTCTCCCGCAATGGAAGCAGAAACTAGGCAAAAACTCGTACTTGAGCGATATCCAAAAACCTCCAATCTTCTCACTCGCCGCGAAGAGGTGAAGTCTCAACGGCTTCGAAAAATCAACAATGGCGCAAACCTTCACAAACTTCTCTGAGGTCTCCTTACTGGCGAAAACCCCAGCTTCCAAGACCTGGCCAATGGTAGGGGCTATCAATTTTTGCCCGAACTGTTTAGTGCAACAATCTTCCTTGATCCCCCAGAGTTGGATACAAAATGGTGCGATAGCCAGATCATCGAAAGTTGTTTTAGTGACTGGTGGTGTCCAGGAACGCAGATTGATGAGAGTGTCGCGCACAACCCAGGGGGTCCGCTTTAGCACCCAGATTTTCGTTTCCGTGCTTGGCAGAATGAACTCGAACAAGCCATGTTTTGCTTGACCGACTCGTATCTGTCCTTTTCCTTGCCAGTGCGAGTTCACAGCCTCACGCAGCTCCGGAATTGTAATGGCAGCTTCAGTGAAAACTCTACCTAGCAGAGTGCGGGAAGATAAAAAACGCACAGACTGGACGTCCTCAAGGGAGAACTGAACAACTTGATCCTCTGTGATATGAGCCATCTCTGCAACCTGCGTCGAATTTGGAGAATTGGAACACGTTACACTCGTTTCCAAAGCGCAACCTTTTCCGATGATGGGCGGCGAAACATTAAACACCCAGTCATCAACCCGGACTGGAATTCTAGTGTAAGTACGCAAGAATAATAGCTCAATGGGAGGAAGGGCACACGTCAGACCCATACCTGGGAATCACACGTCTTCGGGTTGAAGCAAAGAAACCAAGGCAGCCGATTTCGCGGTTGTATCAGATAACACGCGTCCTTGATAGGAGGGCCTCTGCCTGATTATACTTTTATAGGGGGACTTTAACCCCACTAAGCTACCAACCCACGCACCAGAGTTTCCTAACCCGAGAAGACTTAGAGACGACTTAGGAGAGGTGTTTTGAAAAAAATTTCTATTTTCCTTTCTGTTACGGCCAGTAACCTACAGATCAAGGGAGATATTCTTCCCCAGATTTCCGGGATTGTAATTATCCCTTTCGGCGCAAATTATGGGGTCAAGACGAGGAATAGGGTTTGTGCTCGGAATAACCGTGTTTTCCTTCCTCTGACCCCAAGGCTTCTCGCCGGCGGCTTGATCCCCCAATTCCGGTTCTACCAACACTGGTTTTTCCATGAGAACGGATAAATATGTATTTTTCACTGAAAAGTCAGGGCGCTTATGATAAGGGTAGGGCGATGTTTAGCAACCCCTATTCAGAATCATCAAAGAACCAATCTATATTTGCTCCCTCATTTTACTCGTTCCCTCCCACAATTACACTAGCTTTTACTGAGCTCTTGATGGAAAATTCTTAGCTCCAACCTTGGTTGGACGCAAAAGCTCCAACCATCCATGGTGTCAGTTTGTTATTGGTGGATTTACCTTCCTTTTTTTCTTAATATTTAATTATGCTAAGTAAATCAAGAATTAAAATATTAAAAAGTGATGAAATCACCAATAGAAAACTGACACGTGTCTGGTTGGAGCTTATGTGTCCAACCAAGGTTGGAGCTAAGAATTTTCCGCTCTTGACCGAATGAGCTTCGCTTTATCATTAATATTGGTTAATTTATAATTATATTTAAAATATTAATCCGATTCGTTGGTCGGATGAATTTTATTTTATTTTATTTTGATAAATCTCTTCATGTTTTTAAATAAGTTGAGGTTTCTAAAAATTTAATTCATGATTTCATAGTAATCTTTATAGTATTTGCTGATTATGACATTACCGATAATGAGTTAATATGTACTTTTATCAAGTCCTCCTAGTTTACTGTTGTGCATTTTTTTCTTATCTTATAAGAAATTTGTGGACTTTTTATTATCGGATATCAAGTTGGAGTTGAAAGAAAATATATGTCATCTAGAATGGTAGGAATTGAAGGTATATAAAAAAATCAAGAGAATAACGAAAAGATTATGCCTAGAAATCTCAAATATGGAAGAACAAGAAAACACAATGCTTATTGTATAAATTATTAGAATTTAGTGTATAGGTTTGATTGAATAATAAGTCGAGATTGTTAAGTGTTAGATACTAATGCACGTAATAAAGTTACGAAAATTCAACATTATAAAACCTTAAATTCTACTCTATCAATACAATCTTTGACTTTCATGTGGAGTTAATAGCATAAATTGTCACTCTATTATTCATTTTTCTCAAATCTATCCCTTTTATTTTTCACATCAAACATGCCCTTGTAATATATAGTATATACGTATTATCAAATTAAATTTAATCCCTTTTATGGCTTATCTTCTCCATCTGCAACTCCCAATAATTAATAGCCACAATCTCATCCTCCATCTGTCCCGCTTTCTCTTCCTTCGACCTAACAATAAGTAAACGCAAAAACTTGTCTGTCACGAAAGAACTTGAAGACCGACTTTTGAATTTCAACCACTCTCAGAAAAGTCCACAATTATTGATCGATTTGACTCAATCATAAAAATTGGAACCAAAATTTTTTAGAATATATGGATTTCAAGTATCAAAGGTTGTCAACCTGGTTTAGCCCGTTGGCCCAGTCGGTTAAGTGGGTTGAGGGTTAATGGTCTAATTGTTTTAGTCCGCTTTTGCCCGGATATATGAAAAAATTATTATATTGTTCTTATATTTATAAATTATATAAAATCTCATCTACATATGAATAATATTCTTCCTCGACCGAACTATCTACATTTGTTTCTCTATCTTCTATTTTCTGCTATCCTCCTTCGAGCTCCTAAAATGCACTCCAACAACATGTATTCGTCATCCGATGAAGGTCACACTCCTATGGTGGCGGTGTGTGTCAGAAGTGGAATTAATGAGTAACGACCAAGTGAAAATTGATCATGGGGTGTTTGTGAGGGAAGACGATATGTGATGGAAGGCGAGTTCTTCTAGTATTCTCCTTGTTAACAGAATTGACTTGACGGATTTATCTTACCAATTTGTAGAGCGGGAGCTAGAGCAGGAGCTAGAATGGGAGTGTAAGAGTCTATACTCTTCAAGAATTATAATTTGAGTGCACCAAAAGAGCGTGAATAATATATTATTTTAATATTTCATTTAACTTATTAACATGTTTTGGTCGATATATTACATCAATGCAGTGGAAAAAATAAAATCATTTTAGTAGAATAATAGCTTTAAATAATCTGATTAGGCCCGAAAAAGAACAAACTTCAAAACGTGAATAGAAACCCAAAAAAGTTTACGATACTATTTTGTTTTATTTTTTAAAAAAGGAAAAGAGAAATGAATGCATCGTTTATCCACCCCATGCACTCAATTAGTTGTTAATACAAGAGTCTATATCTTTTCCTTCCACTTTGATTCTTTTTTTTCCTAAGCCAACTCTGGAGATCTCTTGTAGATGTACCAAATTGGCAAATTCTATATCATCGGCTATCTAACTAACCTTCTATCATTTTATTCAGCCCTAAGCCCGTGATTTGATGATCTATTTCACATTACTCATTCACGAACTCGTAGTGTATCCTTTTCGTCTTTGCTTTCCAGATCTCTGACAGTACCACATGTATTTCTTTCTCCCACGAAGAAGCAGGTCATCGTCTTCGAGCCAAAGCTGTTGATTTGGCTATAACTTATTTAATTTTATTTTGTTTATAGAGAGAAAAATCTCTCAAATAAGTGATATATGAAATAAAATTTGCGAACATTGATTTTCGATGCTCTGATTTAGTTTGAGCAACAATTTCAAGATTTTGGAAGTTTGTAGTTTCTGTAAAATAATTATGAAGCAAAAAATAATTCCTACTTTCGTTTTCATTGTAGAAAATTTGAAATGAGAGAACGATTTTCTCATTTTAGTATTATATATTGTGTAGGGTGTATAAAAAGACATGTCTTTTCCCTACAAATTCATTAGCACATTGAAAAAAGGTGAAATGAACCAACTTAGTAAACTCCTAATGATTGTTGGATCCAATCATGTCAGAATAAGAAAAGGTTGAAAATTTGACGGTTAGCCGAACTAAAATGTTCAAAGAACTAGTCCCATATAGTTTACACAAAGATATGAATACGATTGTGTAATAGTAGGTCTAAAAATTAATACTAATTTAAGAATTATACATCACTTTTACATATTCAACACTGCAATTTGATATGGAATATTCGAACCAATGATATTTGGGCACATGATTTTAAAGTTATCATCTATTTATAAGATATATAGGAATTTAATTAAGTATTAAATAATAATTAAAATAAGGAATTTGGCCTTTGTTAGTCACCTAAAGTTTCAACTCAAATGCATGTTTCTTAATAATTTTTGCTTCATATTTGTATGAGATGAGGTCGACTGGCTCTATGACTGTGCAGCTGGAGAAAAATGAAATTTGCTATTGCAGGATTATGATAGCTTTTGAGATGGTTGGGTCGTGTATGGTAGGCTCTCAAATCTAAAGTAAGAAGAAGAGACGACGGGATAGTCGAACATGGTCTGTGATGTTTCATGTTGTAGGGTTCTGTGATAAGTAAAAGGATGATATGACAGTGTAGCTACGTATACGAATTGTTGAACACAACATCATTTTGAAGTGGCTGGTGCTCGAATCAGTTGGTTAAATCGGTTGGATTTCCCACTAAGATAGACAAACTCGACTTTGACCCAACCTAAGTAGACAACCAACTGGGCCTTTGGCACCCGCTGAGATACTCAGGTTTAGATAAAATTTGTTCGACCAACAGAGTCATACTCGAATTGAAAATCATGGTTATGACTTTTGTCTGTGTTTGAAGATACATTAGTTCAAATCCCAATACTTGTCTATTTTCTATACAAAATGAAGATAAATAATGGCGAAGACAAAAATGTCATTCCTGCTTTTGCTCTCGTTGTAGGAAATTTGAAATGAGACGACAATTTTATCGTGCCAATAGTATATATTGTGTAGAGTGTATATGTAGACATGTCCTTTCTCTACAAATTCATTTTCATACATAAAAAGATGTAATAAACAAATCTATTAAACTCAACCTATTCTAATGATTGTTAGATCCATCATGCTGTCGGATTAGGAAGATGTTTAAAACTTAACGGTTAACCAAGCTAAAAACGTTCAAAGAACCCGTTCCCATATAGTTTGCAGAAAGATATGAATATGATTGCATCATAGTAGTTCTATAAACTAATACTAATGTAGGAGTTCAACATTGCTTCTACACATTCGATATGTAATATTGAACCAATGATATTTGGTCTATGATTTTAAAGTTATCGTCTATTTATAAGATAAATAGAAATTTAAATTAAATATTAAAGTATAATTAAAATAATGAAATATAAAAATCGAAGTATCAAAACACCAATAAGTACTGAGCGAAGATTTAGCGACCTTAGCTAACCGTTGAAAAGTTCTGTGATTTTTTAATTTTAGCTTCATGTATGGTTTTTATTTAAAGTGATACAACTCATCTATGTTGTATGATTGGTTAAGATTCTTATCATAGTTGAAAATGACAACGGTTCAAATCCTAGTATGTGTATTTTTTTAAGAATAAATGAGAAACAAATAGATCATTGTGAAGACAAAAAATACCATTCCTACTTTCAGTCTCGTTGCAAGAAAATTTGAAGGGGGTGCAATCGCTAACTCCAAAAACCAAACCACCATTCAATAACAAGCATGTCCCCTTCATGTCTTCTATCTATCAATTGCCAGCATCATCATCATCATTATCCAGTGGTAGCTCAACGCCAACCAGTAAGCTGTAATTCACTTTCTAGTATCCTCCATTACAATCATTGATAGACCCCACGTCAAAACATTATTACCACGTCATGGGTTCACCGCCTGCAGCTCCCATAGAGCTCATTGTCGATGGCGCTCACCGGTCTCGTTGCCAACGGTGCTCATCGTCAACGGCGCTCACCGGTCTCGTTGCCCACGACTCTCACCGGTTTTGTCGCCTACGAAGCTCAACGCCCAGGGAGCTCACCGGTTCTCACTTCCCTCTTCGCTCACCGCCGACAGTGCTCACCGGTCTCGCCGTCCATGACGCTCATCGATCTCGCCGCCCATGACGCTCTTCGCCGACGATGCTCACCGGTCTCGCCGCCTGTGGCGCTCTACGGCGCTCACTGCCCTCGGCGCTCACCGACTCTCACGGCGCCCATTTGTTCACTCACTTTAGCCTTCTTCTTACGTGAGCGCCTAGACGTGGCACAAGAAAGCATGACATGTGGCGAGCGGAGCATGAAGTGATGACACCTCATCGGCGCCGTCGTGTGTCCTCTGTAGTCGCCTGGACGACCACTATAAAAAGTCTCTCATCTTTCGGCCAGGGTAAACAAAAAGGGCCTTAGTGAGCTCCTTAAAGAGTCTGCTACTATTAGCGACCGGAGCTACCGCTCACCCAGGATCTCCTCTCCTACTCTAAGTTCTTAACTTCATTCTTCTCATCAACTTACCACTTGATACTGACTTGAGCGTCAGAGGGTGTCCCCGCCGAGATCGGTTGGCGGATCTTTTATAGGATGTGGTGGGAGTCGGCGTCACGAGCAAAGATTGCGATGTAGGGTGACTTGAAGACTCTATCGGTTCCTGTAGCAAGGAATCTGACATCGACAACAACCCAACAACAACAATTGGCGCCAGCCGTGGGGCCCCAAAGTAACGCTTTAAAGAAACGGCGACGCTGATATCCGACACGTGATGGATTCTCATAACTCCCTCATCCCCAAGCTGGAAGAAATTAGGGCAAGGATCCCACCGTCCAACCCTCCCTCAAGGACTTTTAAGCTTAGATCGAGTTACTCAAATCTCAAGTTCATACATTAACATCAGTTGCTCCACCAACCAGGCATCACGCTAGCTCCAGCCACCCCCACGAAATTCCCTGGGCAACCAACCCCAATGGAACGTTAGCGGCACAACATCCTCCTAGATCAGACGATCTCTCTTACCTCGAGGTGCACCTCACACCAGGCTACCTCGGAGTTCCTGAATATGGGAAGTCGCTCGCCCCATCCATTTTAGAACCTAATCCTCCTAATTTTCAACTGCCTCGTCATCTCCTAGAGTACTAAGGGACCGTTGACCCAGAGGATGACCTTAGCAATTTCCAGATGCTAATGTCGTTCGTAGGAGCGTCTGATGCCACCATGTGCAAGATTTTCCCCACCACCCTCTTAGGGGTGGCATTTCAGTGGTATCATCAATTTCAGTGGTATCACCAATTTTGAAGAGTTCGTCGTTCTCATTAGGGCCAAGTTCTTTGCCCAAAAAGAGACAGAATTTAGATATCTCTTACCTTATGAGTATGAAGCAGAGGGAGCGCAATACCCTCAAGGAATATTACGCCCAATTCAACATTATTGTTGTCGGGGTCACCAACCTCACCACAGAGAACGCGACCCATACTATTACCTTTGGAATAAATAATGCCTTCCTCAAGGCATAACTCATAAAACGACATCCTGGAAATATGATGGACCTTCAGGAATGGGTCTCCAAGTACGTCTCTTTAGACGAGACATTGTATGGGGCAATCCCTCAAGGAAAAACCGTTCTCCTTCACTAACCAAGAGAAAGTGCGAGTCTTCACTCTCACGGCGGATGAATTCACCCCGAGCTTGGGATCATCCGTGCGTTCTCTCCCTGGTTTGCTACGAGGGGCCCATCGGGAACCCCGCCAATAAACCATGGTCCCCAAGACCGAGCGATCCTTCACTCCTCTCACAGAGTCCCGCACAACCATTCTCTAGATCATCTATGTCGTCGACTGCCCATCATCATATAAATGCATTCCGGGCGACGCTTCCTTCACCAAGTCCAAGCGGTCCCCTCCACATTCAATCTCCATCTCAAGTTTCCAACTCCAGCTAGGGTCGGTTGTGAGCGATGGCATCGGGCGCTAGACCTATAATGTTGTGCCCTCTCTCAAGAAAAAAAAGGTGGTCATCATGATTGACACCAGCGAAGAGGTTGCCCTCCCCGGTCCTGTTGATCGCGATGAAGAATTTCCACTCGCCAAGGGGCGGACGGTCTCAGTCTCAAACGCATGGTCCCAAGCATCCCTACACTCCCTCCTCTCACTTCTCTAGGAATTCGAGAAGGTGTTCGCCTGGATTCCCGAGGATATGTCGAGCATTCACCCAAGGGTGACAGAACACACGTTGGGGATAACGCCATAAAGTCGCCCGTCCAGCAAAAGTGGGTAATTTTGCATGGGAAAGACGCCAACGGTCGCCGAGGAGGTCACTAATCTCCTTAAGGCCTAGTTTATCCGAGAGGTTATGTACCTGACATGGCTAGCCAACATGGACATGGTGAAAAAGGCAAATGGGCAGTGGCGTATGTGTGTAGACTTCACAAACCTGAATAAGGCCTGCCCCAAGGATCCGTATCCCCTCCCGACGATTGACCAGCTCATCAATGCCACTTCCGGTCACAAGTTTCTCACCTTAGTTGATATGTTCTCTGGGTATCATCAAAGTACCATGAAGAAAGAGGATCAGGATAAAACAACATTTATGACTCCTGTCAAGAATTTCTGCTATGAGGTCATGCCTTTCGGTTTGAAGAATACCGGAGCCACCTACCAACGCATGGTGGACCGGGTGTTTTCTTGGCTACTGGGAAGAAACGTTGAAGCATATGTTGATGATATCCTGGTAAAGAGAGAGAGCGCTTACTTCAAAGATTTGATGGAGGCACTCACCACCATGCATTTATATGACCTCCGCCTAAACCCTAAAATATGTGTTTTTTGAGCATTCTCATGCAAACCCCCGCCATATCGATGCCATTCTAATGCCGGCACCCACCAAAGGCAGGGAGGTCCAAGTACTCGCCGGAGTCATCGCCGCCCTTATCCGCTTTATTCCCCGAGGAGGCGATAGTTGTGCTACCTTCTTCGCCACCCTCAAAGGAGCTTGTAAGACATTTTCATGGACCCCCGAGTGTGAGAAGGCATTTGAGGAATTGAAAAAATTATCTTGTAAACCCATCTATACTCTCCACTCTCGAGAATAATGATATTCTATACCTGTACTTTGATGTCTCCCCCAAAGTCGTGAGCGTGGTCCAGGTCCGAATAGATCCTTTGGTGTAGAACATCCAGTTTACTATACCAGCAAGACCCTCCTCAACGCTGAAATCTGGCACACTCCTATTGAGCGAGCTGCCTTAAGCGTTGTCACCGCCTCCCGGAAGCTACACCCGTACTTCCAAACTCACCCCATTTGCATGCTGACGCACTTGCCTCTCCTGCGTCTTCTTCAAGGGATGGACGTTTTTGGGCGTATGATCAACTGGGTCAATGAACTAAGCGTGTATGACATCACCCTTGTACCTCGTACGACAATCAAAGCACATGTACTTGCCGAATTTGTTGCCGAAGGTATCCAAAGCCAACTCCCGTCGGTGACGGAGACCTAATCACTTTTCATAGATGGCGCTTCCAACAAATCCGATGCGGGGGCAGGAATTCTGTTAGTGAGCCCCTTGGGCGTTGCTCACGAGCTTGTAGTAAATTTCACTACTCCCAAGACAAATAGTGCAACAAAGTATGAGGTTCTCCTCGCTGGAATCTCTATGGCACAAGAGTTGGGGGTGAAACAGATCCTTATCCATTCGGACTCTGCCCTGGTAGTGAACCAAGTAACTAGATCTTTTGAAACTCGAGAACCGGCCCTCACCTTGTATGTCAATGCGAATAGAATGGCTTTAAACGATTTTGTGGAAGCTTAGGTCGTCCACATTCCCCGAGAGGACAACCTCCACGTCGTCGACCTGTCCAAATTGGCCACGACCCAAGATTTCAAGGATGAGAGGCACGTCGTGGTTGAACGTTGTCCTGCCCTTCTGTGTTCCCAGAGTGCTACATCTCCCCCCCCCCCCCTCCTGACTGGCACACACTGATAATTGAATTACATCCAGCATGGTATACTCCCGCCTGATGCAAAGGAAGTGATCCGCCTGAATCGTTGAGTGTCGTTGTATGTCGTGATTGAAGATGCCTTGTACCAGAAGAGTTTTGTTGGCCCTTACCTTCGCTAGCTCAGCAAGGGTGAGGCGTAATTTTCCCTCCACGAAGTACATCAAGGCACCTGCTCCATGCATATGGGACCATGGAGCTTAGAAACAACTGTCCTCCGCTAGGGGTATTAGTGGCCTACTCTCCGGCGAGACGCTCCAAGTAGCAGCTCGGATTCCTCAGGCGCCCACGACACTTATGTAAGGAAATCTTATCCCATGGCCTTTCGCCCTATGGGGAATGGACTTCCTCCTTTTCCCGAGGCCCCGGAAGGAAAAAGTATCTAACAGTCGCGACTATTTCACCAAATGGATAGAGGTTGATGCTCTAACCGGCATGACTACCCAAAAAGTTGCAAAGTTCTTGTGGACTCACATCATTTGCCGGTTCAGCCTCCCTCACACCATTGTGCTAGACCAAGGAGCACAGTTCACAAGTCAGGATTTCAAGATGTACTATGCCAGTATGGTATTCGCCTCCGATACGCATCTGTCTCCTACCCATAGGCCAATGGTCAAGTAAAGTTAGCAGAGAAAAGCATTTTGTGGGAGTTGAAAATGCGACTGGATAACGCCAAAGGGAAGTGTGTGGAAGATCTCTCGCATGTTTTGTGGGCTCACCGTACCACATACAAGACAGCCATCAGAGATGCACTATATGCGCTCGCTTACGGCGATGATACTAAGCTTCCTGTATAAAGAAAGCTGTCATCATACCGAATTGAAAATTTCCACTGTGAAACTAACAACGATGAGCTCGTCCATAATCTGGACCTCGTTGAAGAGCGGAGGGAAGACGCCAAGCTATACCTTGATGCTGCCCACGAGCGAGTTGCTCGCTATTACAACTCCAAGGTAAGGCAACACCCTCTCCAAGTTGGAGATTGGGTACTTCAAAGGAACTTCCGCCCGGAGAGAGGGCCTAGAAAGTTTACACCCAAATGGGAGGGACCCGATCGAGTAAGAGAGGTTATCGGTCCTAAAACCATGAAGCTTAGCGGTGATGAAGGCGACGACATGTCCATGACTTGGTACTCTATGCACCTACGTAGATACTTTACACCAATGTAATGTAAACAAGCGAACTTAAATAAGTGTATTACATGGGTTTAGAATAACAAAGGGGAACATAGTTTGTAGCTCAACAACAGAGACTACTAAATAGCACAACCAAGGTACAATGACAAAAGACAACAATGAAATGAGAAAAAACTCTTAAAATAACTTGAATAACCCGATTACCCCACTCAAGCGTCAGCAGCAGGGTCTCGGCCTGAGACCGAGCTGGGACCCACACCATTGATGGGAGCCAAACCAAAGCCAGGAGGAG